TATGTTGAATTGGAACTGTGGGGTCTGGGGATCAAACCTCATGCATGTATGGCAAGCACTTTGCTTTTCATATAATTTCTTCCTGAAATGTTTGGTAGAGCTCAAGAATGAGTCCACCTGGACCTGGTGGTCTCTGTTTTAGAAGAATATTAATTAACAGTTCAGTTTTTGTCACTAAATGCAGACCTCCTTGGATTGTCTCTGCTCAACCCTCATGCATCTTGTGTGTATACTGCACAGTAGCTGTAAGTGAAGAAAGTGGTCATTGTTGAACAGCAGCATTTCTCAGCTCTACTGTCCTAATACCCACTTTCATAATGAATATTCAATACTCCCTTTGAACACTGGAAGGAAATTCATAGACATAACCATATATAGCCACATGTAATTTCAAATAAAGAATCCAGCTTAATGCAGGGAGAAAATAAGGTAATGATAAACTTGTACTTTAATATTTAAGTAGGTAATTTCTGAAGCTAAAATGATTTGTACATCTAAATTATAGATTTATAAAGTTAAAGAAATGAAAGTCATAAAATAGATGAAAATTCGTTATGTTTAGAATTGTGGATACTGCTGTTCATATGGAAGCTAATATATCACAGCTGTGTTCAGATGGTGGCCAGTACACCGCTGATATTTTCAAAGGGACTTAGTAAATCACAATTATATGTATTATTGCTTACCCACCAGAGTGTTTTTGGGGGTCAGCAGCATGGTTTTCCACATTGGCAAAGTATTCTGAGTTGAATTTCCAACAAAACTATGTAGGCTATCCCTTTTAGTTAGCATTATTTACAATTTCTAGAAAAATTCAGTGTATAATAAAGTAGTTTCTGAAGCTAGGCTTGATGGGGTACTCCTGTAATCTCATCCTTGGGTACATACATACTGATCTTGAGGTTACCCTGGGCTACATGAGACTCTGCCTTTAAAAAGAAAAAAAAAAGAAAGAAAGAAAGAAAGAAAGAAAAGGACAGAGAAACTCTGTCTTGAAAAATCAAAAATAAAATAAAATAAAAAGGTAAAAAAAAGTCACGAGGAAGGAGGAAGAGAAGGAGGCAGAAAGAGAGGGGTAGAATGGGAGAGAGAGGAGAAGTACTGAATGGGGGGGGCTGCAAAAAACTATATGTATGGTTCCCCTGCTGACCCAGCAGAAGGCCTGTGAATGGTGTGATTCTTCATTTGCATGAAGAGTTTCTGTGATTGGTGTAAGTGTGGCTTTTCATTTTCACGAGGGACTTTACCATGATTGCTGTAAGACAGTTCTTCACTTGCATGAAGGTCTGCAGAGATTAGTGTGGACACCTTGGCCATACTTTTTTTTTTTTTTTTTTTTTTTTTTTTTTTTTTTTTTTTTTTTTTTATGCACTGCTGCATACTGCTGTTTTTAGCCATCACCCTTTGTTGCTAGAAGCAAGTAGTAAAAATGGTACTTGTACGTGGTGCTCCATACATATGGAATTTTTGTTTTTATAACATTTTTTATTTTTAATTATGTGTATATATGTATCTGTGTATCGGTTTGTATACAAGTGCAGTGACCTCAGAGGCCAGAAGAGGGCTTCAGATCCCCTATAGCTGGAGTTACAAGTAGTTGTGGGCTGCCCACCATGGGTTCTAGCAATCAAACACTGGTCTTAGAAAAACAATCTGTAGTCTTAACTGCTGAGCTGCCTCTCCAGCCCCAATTGTTTATGTTTATAGGTATACACTGATATATCAGATATATATTCTAAGTATCCATATCATGGTATGATGTACAAGTTAAACAATATATCTTTTGTTTGTTTTTAATTTATTCTACTTTAAATTAAATATAATTATATCATTTCTGTAAGGATTCAGGTATTATGCTTGCCTGCCCCTGTCTCCTGGCAGAATCCCCCCAGAGCCCTCTTCTGGCTACAGGCACATGCCACACCCTCCACATACATTAAAATAAGACAAACTAATTTTTTTTTAAGAAAATGTCAATCTGCAAGGATGACACCCATTATTTAGAAAAACCAGACCAGTGAAAGGGCTTAACAAGTGAAAGCCCTTGACATGCAAGCTTGGTGACCTGTGTTTGGTCCCTAGAATCCACGGTGGGAAGAGAGACGTGACTCCCAAAAGTTGTTCTCGGACCTCGACTCACACTGTAGCATGTGCGCGCCTTGTTTATGTAGATACACACCATAGGTGTGTTCACTAATTTTTTGTTTGGATTTTTCGAGTCAGGGTTTCTCTTTGTAGCTTTGGAGCCTATCCTGGCACTGGCTCTGGAGACCAGGCTGGCCTCGAACTCACAGAGATCCTCCTGCCTCTGCCTCCCAAGTGCTGGGATTAAAGGCGTGTACCACCAATGCCCGGCCTTCCCTCCCCTTTCTAATAAAACTTCTCACTTAAGCTCTGTCTGCCTGGCATCATGTTTGTCCCTCCGCCTTGGAATCTTGGTCACCCTCTCCTGCCATGGAATCTGCCAAGGTTCCCCATGCACTTTATTCATAACCACCCCCAATTCCTCCCATGCCTCCTCCCTGCTCTGTCTTAAATTCATGAGCTCTTTTTCCTCTAATTATTATTGTTTGGACACTAGAGCATTCAGCTTTACACACACACACACACACACACACACACACACACACACACACACACACACACGGCTGTATTTATATATATGAGGAGGAGGGAAAGGGAGGAAGAGATAAGGAATGCTAGTGGGATATAAACATGTAAATGTAAACATAAAACCACAGAATCTGTTTAGTGTTGCTCGAATGTGTATGTTTTTAGGGCTGACCACTGGGTATTGAATAATCATTTAGGGGCTCCTCCCTGGGGAGGACTAGCTCTCACAATATTACAGAATCCCTGGTCCTCTGTTGCTTATAATTGTTCCAAGCACTCTTAAGTGTTGGGGTTATGCTATAAATGTATCATCTGGGGCTGGGAACCCCACAGTCAGTTTTTCTCTGCATTTTCACCAATCTGGCTTTCTCTAGTGGTCTCTGTCTGTTACAAAAAGAAGCTTCATCAGTGAGGGGGAGAACATCTGTAATCAGGTTGTCTGGAGCATAGGATGTCTTAACAGTGTCTCTTAACATCAAAAGTAAAGATAAGCAAAGGTGTTAATAAGAACAAGGAGATAAACTACATGATTATGAATCCAGAAGTATACATTGGAAGAATGAAATTTTAGGACAGTCAACTGAGAGCTCACTTCCCTTAGTTGGTGAAATTTCCATCTACTCTCATAAAATTGATTAAACACTTGGTACAGAATAGTGTTTCCAAGCTGTTTTTTTTTTTTTAATCCACCTATGGACTTATGAGATAGCTAAGTGGGTAAAGTGTGTTCCACACAATTTTAACAATCTGGGTTTGATCCCTAGAACCTACATAAAGGTGAAAGGAGAGAACCAACTCCCAAAAGTTGACCTCTGACTTCTGCCCCATGTACACACACACCCACACAAATGATTAAAAATAATAAAATATCCTGAGGGTCTAGTTGCTATCTATACCTTTCTGCCAATATCCAGATCTAGTCAGTTACCTAGCCCTAAGTTCATTCTCTAGTACGACCAAAAAAAAAAAAAAAAAAAAAAAAAAAAAAAAAAAAAAAAAAGAAAGAAAGAAAGAAAGAGGCTCAGATATATGGTGATCTGTGCCTGTCTGTGTACAGTCTTATCCCATGAACCTCCAGATAGTGTGCTTTAAGAGTCCATTTTAATTAGTCCTTCCAACCTCTGTTTGGTAGTTTGGCATCTTAGGTTTCTTTTGTTAATGATGTGGTCAAAAGTACCTAGTATGGTGAATGGAAAAATACCTAACAGAATCAGGTATTGACAAGCATTTTCTCAGTGTTTTGCTTTGTTTTATTTTGTTTTGTCTTTTAGATTTTATTTATTTCTTATGTATACAGTCTTCTGCCTGCATGCCAGCAGAGGACAATCAATCTCATTCAAGGTGGTTGTAAGCCACCATGTGGTTGCTAGAAATTGAACTCAGGACCTCTGGAAGAACAGTCAGCGCTCTTAACCTCTGCACCATCTCTCCAGCCTTTGTTTTGTTTTGTTTTTCAAGACAGGGTTTCTCTGTGTAGCCTTAGCTGTCGTGAAACTTGCCCTGTAGACCAGGCTGGCCTGGATGGAACTCAGAGATCCTTCTGTCTCTGCTTTCTATAAAAGTATGCACCACCATTGCCCAGCATTTTCCCAGTTTAATATGTACACAAATCTTTAAGTATGAGTATACAAACATTAAAGGAAGCAGCATATTGCTGGGTGGTGGTAGTGTACGCCTTTGACCAGCACTCAGGTGGCAGAGGCAGGCGGATCTCATTGAGTTCAAGGCCAGCCTGGTCTAAAGAGTTCCAGGTCAGACAGCCAGGACTGTTACACAGAGAAACACTGTCTCGAAAAACCATAAAGAAAAAAGGGGGGGGGGAGGAAGCAACATATTTTAATGGCATGAAAATATATCAGATTGGGTGTAGCTCAGTTGGTAGAATGCCTGCCTAGTATACATTCATGGTGATCTCCCTGCCTTAGTCCCTTGAGTCATAGAATTACAATTGTGAGAATTATATGCTTAGGATACCTTTTTTTTAAGATTTATTTTTAAAATGTGTGTGTGTGTAT